GCCCCCGTCTCGTCCTCCCCGAAAGGCAGCGATTGCCTGCGGTTGCGGGCGAGCCCCTGCCGGCCGAGCCCCCCGCGAGCCGGGGCGCAGGGCAGCTTCCGTCGCTCGGCCCCAGAGCGCGCTCGCTCCCGCTCGTTCGTCCGGGCGGCGCTGTTCTAGGTCCTGAGGGCGCAGCAGGGAGCGGGTCGGGGTCATCCCAGGAGCGCGGAGTTGGTTTAACGCTAAACAGCAAGGACAAATCAAACAGGAACCCAGAGAGTGTGGTGCAGAGGTGAACCAAAAGGTCAGGGGACCTCAGTAGAAAGCCCAGAAACCGGCCCATAAATGCATATCAGGCAACTGGGTTCACAGCAAAGGTTCAACAGGAATTCAATGAGGGAAAGGATTTATTTGCAATAAATGGTTCTGGGTCACATGTAGTTGGACGAGTAAAAAAAAAAAAAATCGATCCCTACCCCACGCCATACAGAAAAGTTAATTTGAAATGGATCATAGGCCTACATGTGATAGGTAAAACGGAAAAGCTTCTAGGGGAAAAAAAAAAGGTAAATATCTTCATGACTTGGGATAGGATAGATTTCCCAAAAAGCGCACAAAGAAGCACTGCTCCTAACCCAGGAGTGGGCTGCTGTGGGTGAGGGTGGTGATGCTGATGAGAAGTGGTCGCCTTCAAAGGTATAAGCAAGAAGTCTCTCCAGATGGGCTGGGTGTGGGGTGTGAGAGAAAGGGAAGCGTTAAGGATGGCTGCAAAGTCGGGGGTCTGAACCTATGTCGGAATGCAGGTGCCACGTACTGGGACGGGAAAGACTCGGGTGTGGGCTCATGATAGAGGTCGGAGGAAAAAGTCAAGGGTCCGTTTTGGGGTGTGTTTAACTTAGTGATGCCTATTTGATATCTAAGTGCAGAGGTTGAGCATGCTGTTGAATAGATGAGTTTGACGTTCAGGGGAAAGGAAAGAGCCAAAGGTATGACTGAGGAAGTCAAGAGTCCGGATAAGATCACGGGTGCGAGTGTGGAGAGAGGAAAAGGTCAGAGGACTGAGACCTGGGCCAACAAACAGAAGCAGGAACTACAAGGAAGGGTCCAGAGAAGGAGGTTAGGAAGGAAAGCCTGTAGTGTGTGGTCTCCTGGAAGCCAAGAGACTGTGTGTCCAAAGGAGGTGCCCATCAGCTGTGCCACACGCTCCTGAGAATGGCAGCAATGTGGAGACTGGGGACTGACCAGGTTTGGAAATGGGTTCATCAGTGACCTTGAGAAGAGTGGCTTCGGTGTTGGGAGTGATAGCCACATAGAGGGGGTTCGATAGAGAATGGTGGGTGGAGGGGTGTGGACCCCTCTGGTGAGGGATCGAGCTGGGGGCAGGCTGGTAGGCGATCTGAAGTAACGGGAGACCTTCATGTATGTGTCTGTTTTTGTTTCTTTGCTTGCTGAAGGTGTTTATAAGTGGACGGAAATGAACTCTCAGAGAGAAGAAAATGATGGTGCAGAAGAAAGAATGATTTCAGGGGGCAGTCACTTAGCTGGGGACAGGGGGTGGAATCCTTGGGGACAGAAGGGAGGCAGTGAGCCAGACGAGGCACTGGTGGGAACGCATGGAAGGCTTCTCTAGTGCGAAGAGGGTCATCAGCTGGGCATGGAAGTGTGGGGTGTGGTTGTACAAGATCCAAGGAGAGAGCAAGGGTGTGATGTCTCTTGTAAATGGGAGAGTTAAATCAGAAATCTGGTAGATTATCAGGCAGCATCAGGGGCCCCTGGACATCCGTGATCACAAATATAAAGATAAGGCCAGTCCACACCCAGTCATCCAGCTACTTACTTTGCTCAAACATCCCCTTTGCCCCGAAGGGACAAATTAAGTGTATTCACAACTTGGAAAATATCTGCCAGGTAGCAGACTACTGATAGCCACCTGTCATCGCAGGAATACGTGACTTTTTGTTTGAAAAGAAGAAAGAACAGCCCATGGACACAGACGATGGACAGGCGGGGGCCTGGAGAGGGGTGGGAGATGGCTGGAAGAGGGTAAGGGAGGAAATGGGGGACATCTGTAATACTCTCAACAATAATTTTTTTTTTTTTTTTTTTAAAAAAGAATATCACTCATCGCTAAGTCTGACAGAGCTTTTAAGTATTTCTCTATGAGAGAGCCAACAGCCTTCTACGTGGAACAAAGGACTTTGGCAGATGCTCGGCTCACTGCAGGTGGTGGTGACAGTCCCAGGACATCGGGAAGGCCTGCGTGTGTAGATTAACCGTGTCCACGTGTCCACGGGTTCTGCGGCACGTGCGTGTCTGCCTCCATTTCCGCGGCTTCCAGCCGTGAACCTCACCTGAGGCGTTGTCAGCAGTCTGATCTCAGCGCTCTTTCACTATCTTAGTCAAAGCAGCCAATCCTTCAACAGTTCCACGGACACGATTTTACACGAAATGCTGTTTTTATGAAAGAAATGATTCAGTGTCCAGAATAGCTGCTCCTTGGGGCATCTTCCCACCAGTGGCGCCTCAGCAGTGGTTCTCACCATATCCCGTCACTGAGACAGAACCAGGGACCACCCCGGGCGGGGACTTGCCAGAAATATCTGTGTGTCATCCAACCGTGCCTTAGACCTTCGAGGCCCAAACCTGCTTCATTTGTTCCAATACTTCTTTCTTCTCAACTTTCGCATCTTCTACACCTTCCAGAGTTGTTGCAAGAGTATTTGTAGTCTGTTATGTCAGCCAAACTGATCATGCACAGTAATGGAAAACAGAGAAATGTGAACTATAACTTCAGGGAGTGATAACTATAACTTCAAGGCGCTTTAATGTTGGGCAGGCATATAGGATGCACTGGGGAGAGTTTTTATAGGGTCATCAGGGAAGAGAATTCTACGGAGCCGAGCAAGACCACGGGGAACCGTCCCAGGAGCGTGAAAGGCCCCGAGGCAGGACGAGCTCAGAGTGTTTGAGGAACAGAAAGCAGCAGTGTGGCCAGAGGCTCGTGGGTGAGAGGTAGAATGATAGCCTCAGGGCCAAAGCGCTGGGCAAGGCCCCCACTGCTGCGGTCTCCTGGACCCCGCGGTCTGATATTTGGCCAGCACACCAGTGCAGCCCGGACCACGTATCCCTTGTAAGTCCCACCTCCTGGCCACCATCACTGGCTCCCACCAGGAGAGGGAGAAGGGACGCCTGGTGGGTCAACCGTGGCAAGTCAGCCAGCTGTGGCCGCCTGCACTGTCACTGAACCCATGCCTGCCTGTGGAGGTGACAGCTGTGGCTGTCATGAGATTTTGGCTCAGAGAAAGCTGGGGAGAGCCTAGAGGAGCAGCCAAGTGCGGGGGACACACAGGCACTAGCCAGGCATTGGGCCTTTTGGAAGAGCAAGTGTGGACAGGAGGGAGGCTGGCGGAAGGGCCTGAGGATGTCGGGGTACAGCTCCC